ATATAAATATATGAAAAATCGGAGATGCTACTCGATCGCGCTACTCAGCGGCGCGATTTAAATCGCCCGTGTACTCGAAGCTTAATATTCGATACATTCTCTAATCTTGAATAAACAGTTTAATCAATGAAATTTTTTATTCTCTATTGTAATCTTGTTTATTTTCAGAGCCCGGGTAATGTTCCTAGATTGACACCACGCGTAAATCAATTGAGACAAGAGGAATGCGTGGACGTTGCTGGCCGAGAAGCGGCACACGAAAAAGAAATACACAGTGCCATGCAAATATCGCAATCATGGGAGGATCTTACTTTGGAAGCAGAAGGATTATCGTTTAAAGACTCGGAGTCTCCCACGCAACAGCTTAACAAAATGGAACGGCCGAAGAGGCCATTAGATCCTCTAAGTTTAAATTTGTCCATCACTGGCCCACCAATGTGTTCTTCACTTTCGCCCACGAGGTCTGGATTTAATCAAAGACAATGTTATTCTCCCAGCATGCATATTTGGAAGAATAACTTGTCTCCGAGTCCTACGAGAAAGGCATTCGCTACAAGGTATAATTTTGTTTTAAGCGCAATTTATATTTTTCACATTCGAAGTTGTTATTGCTAAGAAGATAGCGAATTTTGTTGAAAATTTATCGTCGAAAGAGTCTATATTTCAAAAAGATATGAATTATTGCAACTTACATTATTGTTTTTATTATTTTGTCTAATGTTTCATCTAATAACCACAGGCGCAGCTTGAGTCCTATCGCGATCAGGCCAAGTTGCTTGGGGCCGGTCAAAAGAAAGTTTGAAATCGATGAGGCCACAATGGATCACAATTTGCAACCACCTGTAAAACGTACTCCTGGTTTATTGACATCAGTTACATCCAGGTATGTTTTTTATTCTTGGCGGTTTCTTCTTGATACACAAAAATTCAACGATTATCTTAAACCAGTGCTAGACACGATCTGCACATTTCGGTCGATTTTCGTAAGCTAACGCCTACCGGCTCCCCACTACGTCTTGAGACAATATACGCGTTGCTCTGCCTCAGGTAAGATGCATCCGTAACGCAATGAGGTTCCATGCTCCCTGACTCAAATATTAATACTTTAAACGCGATCTAAGACGTTTCTAATAAAAATGTCTTATTAAACTTTGAATTAACAGTTATTTATTAATTTATAAATTGGAAAAAGTCTCTAGAACATTTAACAAATCTAATCTATCGAATATAATTTAATAATATTTTAGGATTCTTATATCGTAAATGTTATAATCTAGAATTTTGAAATTTTGTTATTGAATTAATTATTAAAAAGCAAAAGATTTTAAAGATCGCGTTTAAAGTATTGATATTTGACAGTCACGTGACACGGAACTTCATCCCGTTAGAGATGCGTCGTAAGCGGAGGCGGAGCGTCATGTGCGTTGTCTCAAGACGTAGTGGGGAGCCGGTAGGCGTTATTACAAAAATCGATCGAAATGTGCAGATCGTGTCTAGCGCACTGTCTTAAACTATAGTTCTTTGTTCGACATTTTTAAATTTAGGAATATAAAAATATTTTGAAATAAAGAGAGAAAATTGTTTATATTTATCAATTAATTTCGACTGCTAAGATTTCATGAAACATGTTAGATTTAAATATCACCAATATTTCAGGGAATTTCGGAAAAGACACATGAAATATTTACAATGCTCTAATTTCTGTTGTAGATTGGATGCACTGTCCAGCCCGCTTCCAGGAACTATTAGTTCCGTCGGCACGCCCGAGTCGTTATCGAGCGCGGATTCACCTAGCTTCTCCTTCCGACCGGTGGACAGTCCGTCACCGGTACGTGTCGCGCCAAATAGTGACAGCGATTCTCTGTCGGATGCGAGCAATCAAAGCAAATCGATGGATCAAACCAGTCAGGATAATCACAGATGAACACGAGAGACCGTCGTTGGACGCGGGAGAGCTTAGAGATTCTATGTGTCATACACTGATCTTTCTCGGCTTATCGATATAGAAGAGGTAGTATCTGTGTCACGGTGTCTTACACCGAAAGTCGGTATATCCTTTTAGTCGGTCTCGTCGTTCGGTGACAAAAGAGAACGTGATGGATCCTTTGGAACTTTAGTGCAGGCATAACGTAACGATTAGAAGATAAGACGGGCATCTCTAACACGTTTCTTCGATACACGAATAAACGTAACGCCAACCAAGTGTTCTCCTTCCCTTGATTATGCTAATCACACATATCGGCAGACTACGTGCCCCAATCGTATCGTTCCATTAGATTTATTGCAGAGTGAAATATTCATATCCTCTGACTGGAATGTACTTTTTTTTTTTTTTTT